TGGAGACCCCTGACCCCATCTGGGGACATCCCAAACCCATTTGGGGACCCCCAACCCCATTTAGGGATCCCTGACCCCATCTGGGGACCCCCAACCCCATTTGGGGACCACCTCCATCCCCATTTGAGACCCCGACCCCATCTGGGGACATCCCAAACCCATTTGGCGACTCCCGATCCCATTTAGGGACCCCCTCCATCCCCATTTGAGACCCCGGCCCCATTTAGGGACCCCCTCCATCCCCATTTGAGACCCTGACCCCATCTGGGGACCCCCAAACCGATTTGGAGACCCCCAACCCCATTTAGGGAGCCCCTCCATCCCAGTTTGAGATCCTAACCCTATTTAGGGACTCCATCCCAATGTGAGACCCTGGCCCCATTTAGGGACCCTCTCCATCCCCAGTGGAAACCCCTCACCCTATCTGAGGACATCCCAAACCCATTTGGGGACCTCCGACCCCATTTAGGGATCCCCTCCATCCCAATTTGGGACCTCGACCCCATTTAGGGACCCCCTCCATCCCAAATTGAGACCCCGGCCCCATCTGGGGACATCCCAACCCCATTTGGGGACCCCCTCCATCCCCATTGGAGACCCCGACCCCATTTGGAGACCCCCTACTCCATCGCAGGACCCTTCACCCCTCCTCACCTTTGCCACGGTCACCACACGGCACAGCACTGCCAGCACACAGCTGTGCCGCGGCGTCACCACGCCCCACACCGGCATCACCGCTCAGCTCCGGGCGCCGGCTGCGGTTGAGCGGCTCTGCCGGGTGCAGCTGTGGCACAGAGGGACGCGGTGGCACCATGGTGTCCCCACGGCACCCCATGGCACAGCCCAGCCCCGTGGCACAGCTCAGCCCTGTGGCACAGCTGAGCACCACGGCATTCCCATGGCACAGCACAGCCCCACGGCACCCCTACGGCACAGCTCAGCCCCATGGCATCCCTATGGCACAGCTCAGCCCCATGGCACAGCTCATCCCCACGGCATCCCCGTGGCACAGCTCAGCCCCATGGCACAGCTCAACCCCATGGCAAAGCTCAGCCCCACGGCATCCCTACAGCACAGCTCAGCCCCATGGCGTCCCCATGGCACAGCTCAGCTCCACGGCATCCCCGTGGCACAGCTCAGCTCCATGGTACAGCTCAGCCCCACGGCACCCCTATGGCAGAGCTCAGCCCCATGGCACAGCTCAGCCCCACGGCATCCCTATGGCACAGCACATCTGTCCGGAGTCCCCACGGCACAGCGCAG